AATATCTTTTTAAAAATAAATGGGTATTGGGCCTGGTTCTAATCCCGGCAGCCCCGCTTCCCATCCAGCTCCCTGCTTGTGGCCTGGGAAAGCAGTCGAGGACGGCCCAAAGCTTTGGGACCATGCACCCGTGTGGGAGACCCAGAAGAGGCTCCTGGCTTCAGATTGGCATAACATCGGCCCGTTGCGCTCACTTGGGGAGTGAATCATCAGACGGAAGATCTTCCTCTCTGTCTCTCCTCTCTGTATATCTGCCTTTCCAATAAAAATAAAATAAATCTTTAAAAAAAAATGGGTATAAGACATGAAGGTATTTTTCAAAGAATGAATTATGAATGGCTAACAGGCATATGGAAAAAATGCTCAGGATTGTTAGCTTTCAGGGACTTGCAAATAAAAACCAAAATGAGCTTTTACCTCAGCTTAGCATAGTTAGAATGACTATCACCCAAAAATTAAAAATATCAATAATAAGTGCTGGTAAGGATGTGGGGGAGAAGGTACCTTAATCCACTGTAAGTAGGAATGTGAATTAGTACAACTCTTATGGAAGACAGCATGGAGATTGCTCAGAAACCCGAAAATCGACTTATATAACCTAGCCATCCAACCCCTGTGAATTTACACAAATTAAATTAAATAAACATATGGAAGCATTATTTGTACCTCATGTTTACTACAGCTCAATTCGTATTAACTAATATCTTGTGGACTGGATAAAAAAATTGTGGCATATGTACTATGGAGTACTCCTCAGCCATAAAAAGAATGAAAGCCTGTTTTTTGCAGCTGGAAACCATTAGGCATAGAAAAATAATCTGGTCCCCAAAAAGATCGGTTCCTTGCCCTTAGATACTCAGACCATATACCTATAATGGAATCTATTTGACTGCTATTGACATCCTGGGGTGTGATTATTGTTTACATCCTTTATACCCACCCGTAAGGAGTGCTTTTTTTTCTCACTGTGTGTTGATATCTTTAGCTAATAGTGTTAAATATGTGATTACAAAGTGAAGTGCCACTATAAGAATTCAGAAAGTAAAAAGAAATAAGGAAAGTAGAGAGTGGGTGGAAATATCACTATACTTCTAAATATATATTATGAAATATGTGAACTGTATTTATTTCATATATGCTTTTAAAAATATGGAAAATATAAAATATACAGGAGTGAAATGGGCACCTGTTGTTTTTAGCCCTTGTTAACACCGCAGTATAACTTGTCTTTCTACTTTTTTTTGCAGAGAATACATGATTATTTTTAATTTTCCATGATGCTTTTTAAAAAAGATTTATTTATTTTTCTTAGAAAGTCAGATATCCAGAGAGGAGGAGTGACAAAGAGGAAGATCTTTCACCCTCTGATTCACTCCCCAAGTGGCTGCAAGGGCTGGAGCTGAGCTCATCCGAAGCCAGGAGCCAGGAACTTCTTCTGGATTTCCCACACAGGTGCAGGGTCCCAAGGCCTTCGTCAGTCCTCGACTGCTTTCCCAGGCCACAAGCAGGGAGCTGGATGGGAAGTAGGGCCACCAGGAAATGAACTGGTGCCCATATGGGATCCCAGTGAGGTGTGCAAGGCGAGAATTGAGTCACTGGCTACTGTGCCAGGACTCCTCAATACATTTTTGTAGCTATAGAAATTCTTCCCTTCCCATGCTTGTCTTCTTCCCTATTTTTGGCTCCAGCCATTTTTACCCATATTATCACAATAGTACAATACCTTAATACAACTTTCAAGTTTAACTTTTTGACTTTTAAATCTATCAATCCATGATAAGAACGGGAAAAAGTAGAAAATCTATCATATTTTACAGATATATTTAAAAGGTTCTTTGGGAATTGTACTTTTAGTTAGAAGTAGAGATACATACTACATAGTACCTTTACTTTTTGGTATGCTTTTTCCCTCATACATTTCATATGTATTAATATATATGCATATATATTCATTTACATGTCTATTCATATATAGTTTGTATGTATACATATGTATATACACACACACTACTTGGCCTATTTTATATCAGAGAACATATGCTATTTGTCCTTTTGAAATTGGCTTATGTTGCTAAACATAGTGCTTTCCAGCTGGGACCATTTTGTTGCAAATGGCAAATCTCATCCCTCTTTATGGCTGGGTAGTTTGCATCAAATTTCTTTATCCGTTCCTCTGTCTTCTCTATTTTGAATTGTGCTGCTGTAAATAAATGGTTGCAGGGTCACTTTCACAAATGCAGACCTCATTTCCTGTGGATGTATTCTGAGGAGTGGGATGTATGGACCCTATGGTAGATCAAGTCTCAGTTATCTGAGCTCTCTCCGTACTGACTTCCAGCCTGTCTTCTTTCCAGTGCTCAATGGCATACACACAGTACAGGCTGTGGCTTTACCTGATGCACAATTCCAAACCCACTCTCACCCAAGCTTTAATCAATAACCTATTTTTAAAAATGTATTTATTTTATTATTCCATGATACAGCTTCCAATGCCTGCGGGATTTCCCTTCCTCCCTCCCCAAGTCCCTTCCCCCCACTGATTTGCTCCATATTATTACAAGAGTATAGCCCTTCATAAACAGGCATAAGTTCATGATTCTGCTATTTTAAGTGTATCCTGACATTGTAGGTATGGACAATGGCAGAGTCCAGCATTCTATTCTCAAAATATATTCAACAGTTTCCTCAGGAGTCCATCTTTGTTTCGTAAGTAAAATGCACACTGTGTTATATCTTCACATCTGTATGTATTAGTCTCTTCTACACAGTCTCCATACATTCCCTTAATTGAAAAGCCATAAGACAAAATGAACAACAGAGAGAAAAATAGAAAATTAACAATGAACTGAAGTTAAATAACATACTACTGAATAATCAATGTGTCACTGAAGAAATGAAAATCAAAGACTTTCTTGAAATAGATGAGACTTTTGTGTGACCTATGAATCAGTGAGGAAATTAATAAGAAAAACAATTTTTTGAATGAATGAAAATACAAAACAAAATTTCACCCTCCTGAAATGCAGCAAAAATAGTATTGAAAGGGCTGTTGATCTGGAACTAGACAAGGATGTACACTTTCACCACTGTTATTCAATATAGGATAGAAAGTCCTTGCTAGAGCTATTAGGCAAGAAAAAATTAAAGCAATTCAAATTGAAATAGAGGAATTAAAATTATCTGTTTGCACATGACATGATTCTCTACATAGGAGAACCAAAAGATTCAATCAAGGGACTATTGGAACTCTAATTTGGCAGGGTAGCGGGATACAAAATTAAGAACATAAATTGGTGGCAGTTTTTACACAAATATCTCCATGGCTAAGAAAATACTTTTAAATACAGGCCCTTTAAAATAAAAGAGGGGAATCTTAAATACTTTAGAATTAATCTAACCAAAGATACGGACGATCTCTACAATGAAAATTACAAAACATTTTAAAAAGAAATAGAAGACATTAAAAGATGGAGAAACCCTACCGTGTTCCTGGATTGGCAGGATCAACATCAAAATGTGATACACAGATTCACCACAGTCCCAATCAAAATCCCAACAACATTCTTCTCAGAAATAGGATGATACAAAAGTTTGTCTGGAAATACAAGAGATCACAAATAGCCAAAACTATCCTGAATAATAACAACCAAGGTGAAGGAATCACAATTCCAGAGCTCAAGACAGATCACAGAGCAGTGGTCATCAGAGCAGTCTGGTACTGGTACAGAAACAAAGATCGCTGGGACAGAAGAGAAACACCAGAAGGGAACCCACATATGTACAGCCAATTGATCTTTGGCAAGAGGGCTGGAAATAATCAAAGGGAAAAGTCTGGTCTGTGCTACAAATACTATTGGGACAATTGGATAGTGGCCTAGAGAGGGAAGAAGCAAAAGTCCCTACCTGTCACCTTATACAAAAATCAGCTCTAAATGGATCCAGGACCTAAATCTGCACAGACTATTCGAGGAAAACTTAGAAAGCAGTCTCTTAAGATATAGACATTGGGAAAGACTTCTTAGAAAAGTTGTCAAAAGCACAGGCAGGCAAAGACAAAATAAAGAAATGGGACTAAATCAACTAAAAAGCTTCTGTAGAGCAAAGGAGATGATCAGTAAAGTAAAGAAGCAAACAACAGAATGGGAGAAAATCTTGGCACACTACACAACTGATGGGGACTGATATCCAGGATTTACAAAGAGCTTCATAAACTCAATGACAGCAAAATAAACAACCCTGTGAAGAAATGGAAATTAATAATTTTAAAAGAATAAATTCAAATGACTGATAGACATGAAAGAATGCTCAAGCTCCCTAGCTATTAAGAAAATACAAATAAAAACTGCATTGTAGTTCAGCATAACTCCCGTGAGATTGACCTTCATTCAGAACTCTACTAAAAACTGCTGGCATGAATGTGGGCAGAAAGTTACCCTCCTTCCCTGTTGGTGGAAGTGTAGGCTAGTACAAACACAATGAAGTCAGTATTGAGAGTGCTAAGAGAATTGAAAATTGACACACTGTAATCAATAAACTTTAAATTGAATATAGAACAGTAGTTCCTAGTTTGCAAATGTTCTACCCAACTTTGAAATCTCAGCTGAACGTCAGTCCCTGGAGTTTTAGCATTTGTGCATCAGCTGGAGTTGTTACTCTTCATCAGTAGCTTCGCATGTTTAGTAGTGACTGCTCTGGACAACCAAAGATGTTTACATGGTAGAATCCTATAAAATGATCTATGAATGTCAAAATGGTAACATGTTGTGTAGGCAGAAAAAAACTCCTAATAATTGTGTGACTAATATACTTAATTGTAATAGCTGTGGTCAAGGCAAGTTGTCTTTCCACCCTCCCCCTTTTTGTCAGCTAGTTTTTTTTGGAAATTGTTGATAACGCTGTGTAACTTTTTCCAGGGACTTTCTACTGTGTGAGATAGTTTTGTTTGTCATGATACACAGTTTATTAGGTGCCATGGTAATCTTTCTGTACCTTTATTTTAGGAAATGACAGAAAGATGGAAGGAGAAGCTTCCTATTACTTGGGATTGGCATACTTAGCTGCTGCAGAATATGAGACAGCATTAACAGTAAGTTGAAGTCAACTTTACTACCTACTGTTTTTAATATTCATTACCTTTTGTCAGGTGCTATTATGAGGCCGACAGAACAGGGTGAGGCATCTTGTCAGTCTGCCTATTCACTGAGATGAAACAAGAATAGCTATATGCTGGAAGCATGAAAGATGTTGATTCTGGTGTTTATACAAAGTAGTATGAAGCCAATCACCATGAATTATTGTAGGAAATGTGAAAGTTAAATGCATGACATAAAATGACTCTTGGTATTCCTTTATCAACAGAGACAAAAGGAAACTGCTGTAAATGATATCTTAAAAAGCTGTATAAATTTACAATAATTTTATTATACAATTAGGTGAAATATTGCTTAGAAAAGATTGTATGATTCTTAAGCAACAGAGTGGGTTGCACTGATGTGCATGTTTTGTATGGCAGTGGCAAACAAGAGCAGCAAAGATGGAGGGTGGTGTTGGGCTCAGTAGCTTGGTTCATGATAACATTAGTTTTTGCGTATTTTGTGATAGATTTTGTTGGTTTGGCCACAAATAATACAAAATTAAGACTGTCTTTTCTCTGTTATAATTGAAATCATTTTTCATCCCTTTTTGCCTCAACTATATCTAAGATGTGAGTTCCTGTTTCGTTTCACATACATTTCTTGTAATAATCCTATCGGTGAAGAATATTTGGCTTCTTGGTTCAGAAGATCTTATTTGCTTCTTTTAATGTGTATGCTGAGTATGCTTCTGATATCTGGATTTGATTTGTCTTCCTAGCACCCTTCCAATTTCTGTCATGCAACATAGGTTTTCTGAGATAACATTTCTGTTCAATAGTTTGCAGCTAATGATAAACTTTCAGGAAAGCTTTTGCATGTATTTTGGAAACACAGAGATTTAAAAAAGGTGTACATATCCCTTCAGCATATAACTTGATAAATCTTATCACCTTATAATTCAAAGCTGGATAAGCAAGTGGTTTCTGAGTGTGAGGTAGGAGTAGTTGACTCTAACACTGGAAATCAAGAATGGCTTTCAGAACTGTAGAGAAACGCGTACTCACTCAATGAATGTGAACACATTTTCAGAACTGTAGACAAACAATGAATGTGACATATTCAGTGCATTTGGAAAGCGATGAATTGTCAGGTCTAAGATGAAATGTGATAGGGGATCTGTTGGAGAAAAAAGGTGTGAATTAGCTCTTATCCTCTTTCACATACTCTCATTTTTTCTTGTCGCACTCTTTCTCAAACAATGCAACTACATGGCAAAGTAAATTCAAACAATGCAGTTAAGTTTCTAATACAAATTAAATCTTCCTTCAAATCTTGTACTCAATCTCACAGGTTTTTTTCCTGAGACAAATATAGCTACACATTTGACTAATTTTTCCAAAAGACTACATGTGTATATGAGAGTGTGTAGCATGTGAGTATATGGATATCCTTTTCATTACTTAGAAAATGTACTTCACACATACAATTCTGCACTTTGAGCTAAATTTCTTTCATAGTAATATATATACACACATATCCCATTACATTTAAAAATTTTTTAACCTGTTTCACATTTATTTTAAAGTATGATCAATATAAATAAAAATAATCAGTAAAATTATTAAAAAGTAACTATTGCATATAATTAAGACATTAAACATATTTCAATATATACACATATTGGTAAATGATACCTCCAAATAAACCTAATTGACCTAAATATCATCTCACCTTTTTACCTTTGGGGTTGTTAAGAGTACTTAAGATCTATCCTGTCATAAAATTTCAAGTACATAAGACATTATTAACTATAGATACACTTCATTTTAAAAGAACTGTGTGGTATCCCATAGTGTGGCTATGGTACTATAATGAATTCAGTAATATGTATGTGTATATATATATATATATATATATATATATATATAAACATATATATACGTATGTGTATATATATATATAAACATATATATACATACAGATGCATAGTATATAGTACTATACTATAATGAATTTAACCATTTTATGAGTGGTCATTAATATTTCTAGTCATGTTTATTGCAAAGGCTGAAGCAGTAAACATCTATGTCCACTTTGATCAATTTATTCATAGAATAAAATCCAAGGAAAGAAATGTTGGCATTTTTGTGGTGATACAGTCTAGTAATTAGTGGATTGATGAAGCCATATCCAAATCAATGAATTTTTTTGTGATTGTGACTCCTTTCAGAAAAATATTAAAATTATTTTTCCAGATATGAATGATAATTTCATCTCTATAACTTGTTAACTATGTGAGCTTCAGAAAGGTCCTTAAGATTTAAAGAAAAATAATACTTCATTTTATTTTTGATGATGTTTACATAGTTGAGAGGGATGCAGGCCCATGTGGACTATTGATTAGGGTGGGGAGGGTTGAGGAATGGGGGAAAGTAATTGAGACAGCTGCCTCCAATCTCCTTTTTCCTTCCTGCATTTGGAGACTGTAGGGAGAGAAAGGGAAAGGGCTGCTCCCAGCAGCCCAATCACATCAGTGTCCGGGAATGGGGATGGCCACCCGTTGTCATTGCAGGGTCCTTGAGGTGAAGCATGTTCTAAGCATACTGCTTAAGCGTTTTGGTTGTTCTGAGGTGCTCTTGGTTTCACTGCTCCAAGGTTGAGGAAATTCTTCCAAGGTCTGTTTGCTGACATAGTCCACTTAGAGTCTTGATTTGTCCAAATACTTGCTGTCAAAGCTTGACTGAAGAGCTGTCCAATTGTTCTGCCCTCCATGGTACTAGATGTCCTCTGCAGGTCTCAGTGAACAGGTTGCTATGTTCTGCATGAGTATCTGAGTATGCTGTCTAATGCAAAGGCTTCAGCAACCATGGAGACCCAGTTCTGATACATGCACTCCATGACTCTGTGATTTCCACTGTGGTTGGGGTTCTCAGTCCAGTGATCCAGTTAAGGGGGACTCGAAGGAAACCTTGCCAGAGGTGACCCCAACCTGACTCTTGTGTGTGCCAGCCACTGTGGGATCTGGCTCAGTCAACATCAGCTTACGCACAGTGGTAGCTACAATTACCTGGTCAGTTCTGTCCCTATCCCCATCTTATATGCAAACCACTGGATGCTGTGGACTATACTAACCCTCTCCACCATACACTTGGCCCTAATGCACACCAGCAGTAACTGCATAGTGACCTCCTGTTATCCCCGCCAGGCCCGCCTACAGCCCTGGTTCCTACACATGACAGTATGTGCAGCACACTGGTCCGGTCTGTTTTACATCCATTTGGGTCTTACACACGTCTTGTACACAGTAGGCATTGAGGCCTAGCTCAGCCCAACTGACCCAGCTATCCAGCCCACATTCATACTGGCAGGTGCCACTGCCTGACAAACCAGGCCCGACCCAACCCCGGTTCTCATGCTAACCAGTGAGAGTTAAAGCCTATCAGAGACGTGCCCATAATTTCCTTACAAGGCCCACTCCCAGTTCCAGATTTTGCACTTTCCAAGTGGTGCTATGGTCTAGCCTAACAGGATTTATCCCCAGTCCCAGTACCTGGTAGCCTGTGCTGTGGTAAAGCCCAACTAGCTTGCACTTACTCTGGCTCATGCATGTGCCAGTGGATATGGTCCCTTAGCCCAGCCTGGCTCCCTCTAAACCAGCTCACATGCAAGCCAATGGACTTTGTAGTCCTGCCCAGCCTGGTCTACCTCTAGTCCACCCCTAGTCCACCCCTAGTCCCAGCTTTCATGCTCACCAGCAGGAGCAGTGGCCCATTAGAGGAACCTCCATAACTTCCTTTCTGGGCTTGCCCCGCTTCTCAGGTCTTGCATATGCTGGTGGGAGCTATGGCCCAGACAGATAACTCAGGATTCGTCTGGAGGTCCTACAGCCTGTCTCAGCCTGGCCTGTCCCTAGTTCTAGTTCATGCTGGTATGTGCCACAACTTATCCCAGGGCAGCCAGCCCCCAGTCCTGGCCCTAGTGTGAACTGGTTAGTGTTGTGGTACAACCTGGCCTGTCCTGAATCCTGTCCTCATTCTCACATTTGCCAGTGGGTACTATGAACTGGCCCAGCCTGACATCCCCCAGACCTGACCCACACATATGCCAATGGGTACTGTAACCTTGCCTGGACTGGACTGCTCCCAGCCTCAATTCTTGTGCTCACCTGCAGGGACTGCATCCTGACAGAGGCTTTCTCCAAGTTCCTCTATCAAGTATTCTCCCGGTAACAAATGTCATGCACACTGGTGAACCCTTGGCCCAATCTGACTTGGCCCACTACCTGATTAGCAGGTTCAGCCGCCTTGCCTGCTGAACCTACACATGTTCCAGCTCTTATTGTTGGGTGCTAGAGCTCAACTATGTCTGGTCCATCCCCAGACCCAGCTCTCCTGTGGTTCAGCAAGTGCAAAGACCTAGCCCAGCCTATGCTTTACCCACTCTGGGTTTGGTACATCCCAAACCCAGGGATGCTGTAGCCATGTCCATTCCAGTTCACTGCCCCTATTCCAGCTCTCATGCCAGTGGGAACCTGTAGCATCCCTTTTACTTTCCAACCAGACTTACTCCAAGACACAGGTCTTGCCTGTGCTAGTGGTTGTTCCACCAAACCTGGTATAAGCCATCACCTGGCTTGGCCTTTGCCATCAGATGCTGCAGCCTGACATGTCTGTCTGCCACTCATTCCAAATCTTGCTGGTTGATGCTGCAGCCTATCCCTGCCCAGCCTGTCCCCCATCCCTGGCTTTCATGCAAACTTGTAGATGTGATAGTCTAACCTAGCCAGGCATGGCCCATACTCCCTCTTGGCTCCTGTACTTACTAGTGTGGTACTGTTTGGCTTGGCCCTGCCCTGTCCACTCCCGCCAGAGATACCTCACACACCTGGTTTGGCCTCAAAAGGTCCTCCAAATTATAATGGCCTCCGCCCCCTCATTTAGCTGAAAATGCAGTAGTTTGCTTGGTGGAAGTTCCCCAGAAGTCACTCCTCACATGTTACATTCTCCCTCAG